CTGGGTCTAGGCCTGAAACGTCAGCCTTCCTGCTCCTCTGATGCTGCTTGGCCTGCTGTGTTCATCCAGCTCTACACCTTGTTATTCTCAGATTCTCCAGCATCTGCAGTTCCTACTATCTCTGAAACATATCTATAAAGGCAGGTATATTTACAACATTTAAAAGGCATGTGGATGGATATACGAAGAGGACAGGTTTAGAGGAATATGGGCTAAATGCTGACAATTGGGACTAGGTCAGATTGGGAATGTCTGGTCGGCACTGATGATTTGGACTGAAGGGGTCTGTTTCCATGCTGTATGACCTATGACTGTATAAAATATCTTGACAATATTCCAAGGCTCCTTACAGGAGTTTAATCCGACAGGTGATTGATGCCAGGCCAAAGGAGGGAGTATTAGGAGGGTTGACTGATAACTTGTCAACGATTTCAGACAGTCTTAAAGGAGGAGAATTTTAGGGCGGGAATTCCAGAGTTCATAGCTTGGATGACTGAAGACAAAAGGAGTTTTGAGGAGAAGGCTAAGACTTCAGACTTCTTCTGTTGGAAGAAGATACAGACAAAAGGAATAGAGAGGGCATGGAGGAATGTGAATTGAGGATGGTCACTTTAAATTTGAGTCTTCGATGCACCTGAACCAAAATTTAACCTCGTTTTTGGTCACCATCCTTTGGTTGCATTTTGTCCTTCGGTTCATTATTTAATCTGCTTCCTTACTGCCCTTTGAAGGACATCTGGATGATTTTCTACGTTAAGAGACCAATATAAATGCAAGTTATTGATGTTATATCTGATGTGTTTTGCAATGACGAGCCAAGTAAACATCATTTATCTGTGATTAAAGTCTTAACGCAAATTATACAAGAGTTTATCTCATTTAACATGGTCCAATTACATTGAATGACAAAAGATAAGTGACATATTGACTATTTTATAAACAGTTAACGCCATTCCTGTGTCTCAATTTTTACAGTTCCCTTGATCCGCTACATGGAATCTAGGATTATGATGCCACTCAAAATCTCCACTTTACAATAATGATCTCGGTGGTTTTCTTGGATATAATTCGAATTGGACAATAGTCCTCCACAGATTGAATATAATCCTCAGTGTTTTTCTCAAATGTTAGCCTTCAACTAAAATGTAACCATCCTCATGGAAATATTGGTGTTTACTAGATGTATAGTAGCAGGCTGCACTTTAACCATCATTTACAGAATCAAAGAATCGTTTGTCATTTGAAAATATTTCAGTTCTGTTGTCAGTAATTATAATGCTGGATTAATTCCACTTTTTCTAATGTTCTGATGTGTCAATTTTCAGGTGCTTATATTGATACAAAGATAGACTACTGCTGAGTCAAAGCACAAATGATATTTTCTGTTAACGTTTTACAATATGTGGCCATTTATCACTTTAAATGGGACAGTATTGCTGTTTTATACATACCTGTAGATTCTATTAATGCTTGACAACAGGGAAGCAAATGTTCACTTGAAAGCTACTGAATGATATTAAAATATTTTAAAATGTTCCAGTAACTCAACATGGGTATGTTTGGAATACATTGTAGTTTGTGTTGTCAAGCATCTACAACAAGTAACTCTCACTTTCGCTAATTCCTTGAAATGTTCCCTTTTTTAGTGGATGTTTTATATAAATTGTACTTCCCATTAGATAAAATGATAATTAATGACTAATCAATATGAATTGTCATAAGTAGACCAATGAAAATTAAGGCCACAAATTGGCTGATGTTAAAAACAAAATTTGGTGCTGCAATAAAATTGAGACTTATTTTTAAAGAAAATTACATTTCAATGGAAGCTGCTTATGTGACTGATGCTGTATTCTGCATATTTTATAATCCAGACTGGGAGATGATTTACTGCATCAGATGCTCAATAGATCTTGAATTACTTCATAATCTGTTTACAGTTGAGGTCTTGACAATGTGGTGTTGATTTTTTGTGATTGATGTTTGTGATGTATTTTTAAAGAAAGTGTACAAATTTTAATTCTAAAACTAATTAAAATTTACATTTTTGAGATCTTTTGTAATCTTGAACTTCTTCGAGAATTATGGATAAATCACTTTTATCTGGAAAAAGTGGGAGACAATTCCTTTTCTTGGATGTTCCTTTTCTTTGAAAATTTTCCAACAATTTTATAAGATGTAAAACATGCACTACGTTGTAATGGTAGACAAAAGCTTAGAGTCTGAATGCCAGTTTCAGCTAATTTTTAAACCACACTTACCTCAGTAAACATTTCTGTCCATTACAGTATATTTTACAATACAGAAGTAGGGCATTTATTCCAAAAGGTTACTTCTATTGTTTGTGCTCCACTAACGTCTTTTCCTATCTTACTACCTCTAATCTAATCAACATGTCCTTCTATTCCTTTGTCCCACCTTATGTCTACCCAGTTTTTAAATGTATCCATGTTATTCACTTCATAATTTCATGCAGCAGCAGTTCCACATTCTCACTACTCTCAGGACAGCCACAGAATTTCTTACTGGGTTTATTAGGGAGTATTACACATATAAGACCAGTAGTTTTAGAGTCGACCCTGATCCCTACAAATAGAAACATTTTCTCCATGTTTACCCAATCGAACCTGTGCAGAATTTTAGAGATGTCTGGTCAGTCTTTTATAAGTAGATGGCACATTTGTTTTACATACTTTAAAATGAATTTGATTCTCATAAATTTACAGAATATTGGCTCTGGAGAATGGAAAACTCTCCATTTCTGACTCCTAGCACCACCAGCAAATATTTCTAGATCAGGACCAGTGAAATTAGATCAAGACTAGTGTTCATCTTCTGTGTCACAGGCCCAACCTCAGTATGGCATCTTTCACTTGTGTGGTATTTTTCCATTTCCAATTTTGCTGCATTGTTACATTTCTGTCACTTGCCACTTCTCCTAAAATTCTTAATTCTCCCTTACATGAAAACTGGCAGCCTTTTAATTTTTCACCAAAATCAAGAATGGGGGGGCATTCTAATTGCATTCAGTCCTACCTTGACTTGATATTAAAAAATGCACATTTTTAGCAGAAGATTGGTGTATCTCTCATTGATCCAGCGGTGCTATAAGTGACTCTTGTAACCTAAAAAGTTGCCCAGTTGAGATTAGCTGCTCAATGCAGAACAATTACCTGAAACTGGAACTTTTTGTTTTAGGTTACTTGATGACCTCTGCAATCTAACAGCTCAAAATGAAATAGCGCCTAATTTTGTCCACGTATGATGATGTACTGTCCATTCTGGAGATGGTGCAAGCTGTCAGTCTTTTATTTTCAAGATATTTCTAGCCTGTTTCACTTGTTGTTTCTTTTTAATTCATTGATTTTGTTTCCCTGTTTCTTGTTAATTATGTGAACTCGCTGCTGGGATGAACACGTTAAAATGCCATTGAGCAAACCACAGGGACATTTAAGCAATGCTTTGGTTGCAGGTAACTGTACCTGCATCGACCACTTTCTCTGGAGGTTTGTTCTACAAACAAACCACTCTCTGTGTAAAAACAAAGTTGCCCCTCATGTCCTTTTTAAATCTTTCTCCTCTCACATTAAAAATATGCCCCCAGTCTTAAAGTCCTCCACCCTAGGGAAAAGACACTTGCCAATCACCTTGTCTATACTCCTCGTGATTTCAAAAACCTCTATAAGGTCACCCCTCAACGTCCTATGCTCTAATGAAAAAAGTCCCAGTCGAGTCAGCCTCTTCCTATAACTCAAAACCTCCATTCCCGGGTGACAGAAGTTGCTGAATTCCAGTTTTGCAGGACGGTCCCACACAGCCCTGATCTTAGAAGGCCTGGTTTTGGACTGCACCATGAGCAAGGGCAGGAGCAGACGGAATGGGCTGCTTGCTGGGCAGAAACAAGCTCTCTGATAGAGTGATACTGCTGGGTGGATGAATATGGACATCTCTGCAGAGGTCAGCAGGGACTTGCAGCACAGAGCCACTGTCACTCCATTGGGACAATACTGCAGAAATCCTAGCAATCTGCTGAAGCACAAATTGCTGGGCTGCCATGAGAGTCTGCAAGCTCCTTTGAACACCAGTATCTGCAGCCATCATGGCAGCAGCTACTGTTTGTGGCAACAAGCTGTGTCTGTAGGACTTCATTCTGAAATTTCAATGCAGCCAATTCATTCATTGGTTGGCTTGTGCATATGCTGACTAGAAACTGTGATGTCAGATATTGCATGACAGTCAGCTCCATGAGAATTGTAATGGCGTTATGCACCAATTCCATGCTGGAAAAGAGAGGCTGTAAGCTCTGCACACAGTCCTGTGCCAAGTTAGTGCCAAATTCCTCCATGTCCTTCAACTGCAAAGCAGATTCGCCTGTTAATGCAACAAATTTCTACATGCTTGCCTATTGGCCACCTGCTGTATCCTACTCCAAAGTTCTGATCTGATTCTCTGCAGCAGAATTCACCTGAACTCCTCCAGTGATGAATAGGTGCCTTCTATGGCTGCGGGCCACTCGTGCTAGGGGTGAAGGTAGATGAACAGCCATCATCTGTTTGAAAAGCAGGGCAGGTTCATTGAGCCAAATTATCTATTCCCACTCCTAACCAGCGACACCCACATCCCATTACTGAATAAATGAAAAAAAAAACCTGGGCCTGTGACTTGACCCAGTCCTAGTAATGGACAGTGCAGCAATGGCACAAGTGCCACATGCCAGGCACCATATTAGTGACTTGCAGCAGCAACAGGCTGGGAAACAGCAGGAGGAAGGAAAACAAACTCATAAACCACTCAGAGTGCATAGGTAGGCACTGGATGGCTACAACAGAACACAGTATCAGTCTTTCAAACAGGAGCCACCAAGTCGTTTCCCATTCTAGAAAGACCAAGAATTTTTTTGTTGTGTCACTGTAGTATTCAACTATTTACCCAGGAAAGGTAAAAGTGTTCACATTAACAATCACAGCCTAGTCCAGCACATCAGAAAACCCTGGCATAATTTCAAGCAAGTTGCTTTAACAGGCCACTGATAAGTCTTATGTATAAATGCACAAATAATTTAGTTCTATAATGTAGTTGGAGGCTGGTGAAAACCAGTATAAAAACAGTAATACTTGGAAAATGAAAATACTGGTCATACTGTAGCATTGTTGCGATGTATACAAGTTAGATGTTGCAAGTTTGGCTGGTTTTTCCTTCTGGGCGGAGGGATTGTCTGATTACTGATCGATTTGAAAACAGATTCTTCAACCAAAAAAACTTTGAGAATTCCACCTACACTTCATCCAACCTGGTGAGCCAAGTTTCCCTGGCCCCATGGTGATGTCCTGCAGGATGGGAAAAAAGAATAGAACTGAGCCAGGATGGGTCTCCTCACATTTCTGTCTTGAGGTGCAGTCTTTCCCAGGCTGGCTACGCAGTGGGCCAGATGCATTTATTTTGTTAAGGCCCGATGCGGGGTGACCTTGAGGCCTCTCCTTCAATTTGCTGGCAGGACAGTACTGCAACTATGCCAAAAGATAGATCATTGGAGATACATAGAAACACAGAAAATGGGACCAGGAGTAGGCGCTATCAGCCTCCTCCACTATTCAATATGATCATGGCTGATCACTAACTTAATACCCTGTTCTCACTTTCTCCACATACCTTCTAATCCTTTTAGTCCTAAAAACTATATCTTACTCTTCCTTGAGAAATTCAATGTTTTCACCTCAACTGTTTCCTGTGGCAGAGAATTCCACAGGCTCCTCACTGTCTGGGTGAAGAAGTTTCTCCCTATCTCAATCTTAGAAGGCCTACCCAATATCTTTAAAGTGTGAACCCTGGTTCTAGACTACCTGGTCATCAGGAACATGCTTTCCATATTTACCCTTTCTCACCCTGTTCAAATTTTATGTTTCTATGAGATCCCCCCTCATTTTTGTAAATGCCAGTGAATATAGTCCTGACCAATCCTGTCTCTCCTCATATGTCAGTCCTACTGTCACAGGAATCAGACCAGTAAACCTTTGTTGTACTCCCTCCATAACCAGTACATCCTTAGGGAGTGGAGCCAGTGTGGCCAAGCATCCAGAATTTTATGGTCCATCCTAAAATTCGGACTGTTGTCATAAACTGTTTCCTCCCAGGATGTCATTCATCCCATCTTCTGTGAATGTAGTCTCCTCCCAGAAAGAGAAACCAGTAAAGAAAAAAGCAGTAATAAATGGAAATGAATGGACTGGTTATACTGAAGGTCCATTTTGAAGGATGTAAAATGAGCAGCATTTGCAAATTTTGCTGTTTTTATATTCTTTAGGTTCTGTAGTGTGGAGCGACCAGCCTGGAATCACAAACGAACATCATCACAGGCTGTACTGACCTGGGGGATGGGTTTATCCAGCACTCCAACTCACTATATTCCTGATTTTATAATTAATTATTGATGTACAGGCCAGCAGTGGAGCGAGGTGCCCTCACCATTCACCTGTCTCAGCAACATTACCTTCCACTCCTCCTCCGAGAAGATCCAAAGCTGTTGCCTCATCCTGACCAGGTCCTGAAGCAGCTGCTCACTCAATTTGGAAGTGAATGTAAAATTCACAGTCATGTAAATGCATGCATGTCTACACATAACAGATAGGAGACCGGGTCCAGCAACATTACAATGTTGATCTAGCTGGCAGCAGAAGTGCAAGCTCAAGACTTGCATTTGGTCTAAGTGTTGCCAGGAGAGAAAAAAATTGTTTTTAGAAAATGAACCAACTCATCCTTAATTTTGAAGTCTTTGCCCCATTTGCCAGTTTTACTACTTGATCCTTCTGGCAGGGTCTGAAATCGAGTTGATAATTTTCACCCATTAACTCTGTCAAGACCCTTAATAGACCTCAGCTGGAATATTGTGTACAATTCTGGGTGCCACACTATAGGTTGGGTGTGAACACATTGGAGAGAGCGCAGAGGAGATTTACAAGAATGGTTCCAGGGATAGTAGTGTCAATTATGAGGATAGATCAACCAAACTGGAAGCGTTCATCTTGGTGAGAAAAAGGCTAAGAAGAAATCTGACACAGATTTCCTAAATCATGTATAGGCTTGATAGACTAAATAGGGAGAAACCGTTCCCTGTTGTAGAAGGATAAAGAACCAGCAGGCATAGATTTAAAATGACTTGCAATAAGAGTAAATGTGATGTGAGAAAAAACGTTTCAGTGAGTGGTGGAATGCACTGCCTGAAGGTGTGGTGGACGCAGATTCAACCGATGCATTCCACAGGCTCTTGGAAGATTATTCAGACAGAGATAATATACTAGAGTGTGGAGAAAAACTAGGAAATTGGCACTATGTAATGACGTCCATTTGAAGAGCCAGTACAGAATCGATGGACCGGATGGTTTCCTTTCACACAGTGGCTATTCAGTTCCTAATCAGATGCTATCTGCTCTGGGACTGTTGCCAGTATCTCCTCATTTTTATGTAAAATTTGCAGTGTTTAACTATTCAGAAACCTGCATTCCTCAGCTGTGCAATGCTTTTCGATTCTGAACTGGAACAAAGGCAGGGAGGAGCAAAGTTCCAGGTCCAAGGGTCTAAACCGTATCGATCAGCTTCCTTAAGGGACGTTTGCAGTGTCCACTTTAAGAACATTGGGTGAACTGTTTGGCAGGCTTGCTGCTGATTGAGTTAGACGGGGATTGATATGATATGGTTACGCAACACACAACTGGGTCTTGAACTGCAAGCAGCACTTTACTTGTTGACCGCATAGTTGCATTAAGCGATACCTTTGTTCACGAGAGAGCGTTTCGGAAGTGGGTCATGTTGCCCAAGTAACGAGATTTCCTATCCCTATGGTTACCTGGTCCCGGGCTGAAACAGACACAACATTCCCGGTATCTGGGCTCGTGCTTTGATTTCCGCCTCTGCAGAATATCATTCTTCTTCCACGTTTTTACAAAGCCCAGTGAACGAAATGGCACATTCTTTCGGAGACTATTACGGTAACATATTCGAAGACAAACTGATGTAAGTCAAATGGGATTTTTTTTTTGTAATCCCACCATCGATTTTATTTCTTTGGAGGAAAGTTGTTGAAGAGTTTCCTTTACGATTAAGAAGTCGAGATAGAATACTGCGTCATTTTGGATTTGCAATATTTTTTATCCTCACCTATTGTGTCTGTGAATTGCAGCAGAAATGTATAATGGCAGGAGAATTTCAGTGCTGTGTCATTGCTGATAGAAGGCAGTTAGAATGGTCAATTGCATCAGGTCCTAGCGAACTGGATACAACATGCAGGTACCTTTCAATAAGAAGGAAGTAAAGGACTTCGGTTATGTTGTAAATCTGTAAAAACTGAGGTTGTTCTCAGAGCAGAGATGGAATTCTTAGTAGAGTTGCCCAGATCATAAAAGGTTTTAATAAAGTAACGATCAACTGTTTTCACGGTAGAAGGGTGAGGAGACGGATTTCAGGTCCTTTGTAACTGCTCTGATCTGAAATACACTGCATTGTCTGAGAGTACGGTGGAAGCAGATAAAATAATCACTTTCAAAAGGAATGCAATAATAATTGAGGGGTGGAATCTGTGGATTTTAGGGAATAGAGATTGAACAGAGAGCTTTCAAAGAGCTGCCATGGATATGATCGGGGTGGAATGGCCTCCTATGTTGTATCATGTAAGATTCTCTAAAACTTTGTGTCTGATTTTGTGTTTATTTTTTACCCAGTTTCCATCTTCTGTATTTTTCCCTGTATCTGATAATTTTAATAAAACTTCATTTAGAGGAATTTGATAAATATGTACAATTTGTGATTCAGTGTTTAAGCTGTAGCCTAGAATTGAATTTTAGAGGTTGGTTAGCTCCGTTGGATGGACAGCTAGTTTGCAACACTGAGTAGGATACCAACAGCATGGGTTTAGTTCATGCACTGGCTGAGGCCCATGAAAGACTCTCCTTCTCAACTTTCCCTTCACCTGAGGTGTAGTGACCCTCAGGTTAAACCATCATTGCCGGTAATGTTCAGGGATGTGTAGATTAGGTAGGTTATAGGCGGATGGGTCTGGGTGGGATGCTCTGAGGGTCGGTGTGGACTTGTTGGGCCAAAGGGCCTGTTTCCACACTGTAGGGATTCTATGACTCTATGAACTTTAATGAGATAGCAGCCTGATGGTTTGGCAGGAACAATAGTGACTTCACTTTTATACAGAATTGTAAATGTTTTGAATGATTTACCCACTGAAACATTGTTTACTGATAAGGATTAATAGATTGAACTAAGGTGGTTTTACTGAATGTACCTTTTCGTTTAATATTATTCATTCAAAAAATGTGGGTGTCACTGGCAAGGCCAGCACTTGTCACCCATTACTAACTGCCCTTGAGAAGGTGGTGGTGTGCTGCCTTCTTGGGCCACTGGAGTCTAATCTGGTGTAAGTACATCAACGGTGCCGGTAGAAAGGAAGTTCCAGGATTTGATCCAGTGATTTATGTTTTTTAAAGTTAATGGAACTGATTTTTTCTGCTTACCTGCAAGTTCTGCATCTAGGGCTGAAAATGGGAGCTGATTCCATTTTAATGGATGAGAGGACCCAGGCTGACATATTGCTAGTTTAAGAATCTACCAATTAAGGACACTTCTAAGGACTGTCAGCCCAATAAGACAGCTGGTAGCTTAGTAGCCCCACCACTAGCAGTGGCCAGTGAGGCCGAGGCCATGGTGCCAGGTTGAGGATGCCCTAATGGAGGGATGCCGTTGAAGAGAGAATTGTTAGGCATCAATGTTGTTGTGGGAGTGGCTATTATCACACTGGCTGTTTGGGGCTGCAGGGGTAGGTGGTGGTGTTGGAACAGGGGAGGTGATATTCTTTTGTGGACTCCTCAAGGAAGCCTTCTCCATGAGTTTGTCAGGAGGCCGTCATGTTGATGTACCAGTCTCCCAATCAATGGCAGGTCCTTCCAATCTGGCCTTAGTTTGTGTAGAGATAGGTGTGCAAAGCACCTCCTCCCTCATCATACTTCCAGTTCTCCCAGCTGTCTCATTGACAATAAGATGAGAAAACAAAGGTGGCTGTACTGTCTGTGCATAAACCAGATAAATAGCCAAGAGATCTGTGGCTGAAGAAATGTTGTTGGTAACGGTATCTACAAAGGTAGTATGTATTATACCCTATTAACATGCACATACAAAAGGTTGATCATGAATTCTAGAAAACCCGAAAATGCTTTTACGTGTTTGAGGTAACTTTGATTTATGTGGTATCATTGGGTGTGTCTCATTGTTGTTCTCCTATGTGGTCATCAGAGGATAACAATGAAAGTAATTTTCTCACTGGCCTCTCCACCCCTGACTAGGTAATGCTTTGTGAGAACAAAGTGGAGACTGTGTACACAATATTTTTTACTCAACATTGTTTCAAGTGAAACTTACAGCTAGGCGAATGACAGTACAGAAAGGATAACAACATTAAATTGGCTATCTAATTACTGAAACCCTACAGGATGCACTTAACCAACGTCAATGTCGTCATTGTCTTCAGGAATAGTGCCAGAAGACTGGAGACTAGCAAGTGTTGTCCCCTTGTTCAAGAAGGGGAGTAGAGACAACCCTGGTAATTATAGACCAGTGAGCCTTACTTTGGTTGTGGGTAAAGTGTTGGAAAGAATTATAAGAGATAGGATTTATCATCATCTAGAAAGGAGTAATTTGATTAGGGATAGTCAACACGGTTTTGTGAAGGGTAGGTCGTGCCTCACAAACCTTATTGAGTTCTTTGAGAAGGTGACCAAACAGGTGGATGAGGATAAAGCGGTTGATGTGGTGTATTTGGATTTCAGTAAAGCGTTTGATAAGGTTCCCCATGGTAGGCTATTGCAGAAAATACGGAGGCATGGGATTGAGGGTGATTTAGCGGTTTGGATCAGAAATTGGCTAGCTGTAAGAAGACAGAGGGTGGTGGTTGATGGGAAATGTTCATCCTGGAGTTCAGTTACTAGTGGTGTACCTCAAGGATCTGTTTTGGGGCCACTGCTGTTTGTCATTTTTATAAATGACCTGGATGAGGGCGTAGAAGGATGGGTTAGTAAATTTGCGGATGACACCAAAGTTGGTGGAGTTGTGGATGGTGCGGAAGGATGTTGCAGGTTACAGAGGGACATAGATAAGCTGCAGAGCTGGGCTGTGAGGTGGCAAATGGAGTTTAATGCGGAAAAGTGTGAGGTGATTCACTTTGGAAGGAGTAACAGGAATACAGAGTACTGGGCTAATGGTAAGATTCTTGGTAGTGTGGATGAGCAGAAAGATCTCGGTGTCCATATGCATAGATCACTGAAAGTTGCCACCCAGGTTGATAGCGTTGTTAAGAAGGCGTACAGTATGTTAGGTTTTATTGGTAGAGGGATTGAGTTTTGGAGCCATGAGGTCATGTTGCAGCTGTACAAAACTCTGATGCGGCCGCACTTGGAGTATTGCGTACAGTTCTGGTCACCGCATTATAGGAGGATGTGGAAGCATTGGAAAGGGTGCAGAGGAGATTTACCAGGATGTTGCCTGGTATGGAGGGAAGGTCTTATGAGGAAAGGCTGAGGGTCTTGAGGCTGTTTTCGTTAGAGAGAAGAAGGTTAAGAGGTGACTTGATAGAGACATACAAGATGATCAGAGGATTAGATAGGGTGGACAGTGGGAGCCTTTTTCCTCGGATGGTGATGGCTAGCACGAGGGGACATAGCTTTAAATTGAGGGGTGATAGATATAGGACAGATGTCAGAGGTAGGTTCTTTACTCGGAGAGTAGTAAGGGCGTGGAATGCCCTGCCTGCAAAAATAGTAGACTCGCCCACTTTAAGGGCATTTAAATGGTCATTGGATAAACATATGGATGATAATGGAATAGTTTAGGTTAGATGGGCTTCAGATTGGTTTCACAGGTCGGCGCAACATCGAGGGCCGAAGGGCCTGTACTGCGCTGTAATGTTCTATGTTCTATGTTCTATTAGACAATAATGATCCGGCCTTTAAATCCTCATTAAACAGGCCAATATTCTTGTCCTTACTTTAATCTTCAAAAATTCCTCTCAAAGCTATCTGTTTGTAGCTCTGCTTGGTCTGCTGAAGTTTAAGGGATCAGTATTTTATAAGTTTGCTTTTTGTTGGTTGATTATGATGATGACTTACTGAACCTGGATTTATTTTTTCATTTGAACCCATCTGGCTCACTAATATCCTTCAGGAAAGGAAATCTGCCATCTTCACCTGGCTTGGCCGAGATGTGACTCCAGACCCACAACAATGTGGGTTGTCTCTCAACTGCCCTCTGAAATGGCCTAGCAAGCCACTCAGTTGTATCAATCACTGTAAAGTCTCAACAAAGAAATGAGACTAGACGGACCACCTGGCATGAACCCAGGCACTGGATAAGACAACGCAATAAACAGCTCTGTCAACGCTGCAAAGTCCTCCTTACTAACATGTGGGAGCTTGTACTACAGTTGGGAGAGCTGTCTGACAGACTGGTTAAGCAACAGCCTGACATAGTTATACTCACTGAATCATACCTTACAGACAATGTCCCAGCCACCACCATCACCATCCCTGGATATGTCCTGTCCCACTGGCAGGACAGACCCAGCAGAGCTGGCGGCACTGTGGTATACAGTCAGGATGGAGATGTCCTGCAAGTCCTCAACGTTGTCTCCAGATCCCATGAAGTCATATAGCATCAGGTGAAACATGGGCAAGGAAACCTCCTGCTGATTACATACCAACCTCCCTGTGCTGGTGAACGGTACTCCTCCATGTTGAATGACACTTGGAGGAAGCACTGAGGATGGCAAGGGCACAAAATGTACTCTGGGTGGGGGATTTCAATGTCCACCACCAAGAGTGGCTCGGCAGCAGTACTACTGATCGAGCTGGTCGGGTCCTAAAGGACATAGCCGCTAGACTGGGTCTGCGGCAGGTGGTGAGGGAACCAACAAGAAGGCAAAACATACTTGACCTCATCCTTACCAATCTGTTGGCTACAGA